ATCACATTCAGCCTTTATATCAGTTTATGTAAAACAGTAGAATTATTATTCACTCACATGAACTGAATTTGGCATAAAGAGAGGAAGGGGAAGGTTTTTCTTTTAGAGAGAGAATTTTTCATCTCTGCTCATCCAGAGTAGTTGTCTTTGCTTTCAGAGTTTATTTGAAGTAGTTGAATGACTCCTTTGCAGCAGGGAAGCTGTTGCACAGTGCTGTCAGTGACAACCCTTTCTTGCTATCTCTGTCTCATGGAAGTGAGGCTCACGCAAGAAGAGGAGATGGGAAGAGGTTGTACTTTATGTGTAACTTATGCCTCGGTTGGCTGGCTGAATTTTTCTGGTGGTTTTATATTGAAGAAAACCTCCAGTGTGGAAACCAAAGCTGTGATACTCTGGAACTACTAGAGTTAACTGTCAGGTATGATTTTAATCCAGGAAGCTTAAGACTGGGTGCTCCTTTCTTGTTAGTACAAGCTTTTCCTGCTTATAGGTCTCCTGATCAACAGAGAGCTAAAGATAAGGATCTAATATTTTTTCTCATGAAAAAGAGCACAGTGAGGGTTTGATGAACAGACACTTTTATAATAAAACTCTGTCTCACTGAAGCTGTCAATTGCCAGCAATTACGTGACACTGAACTGTTTTTCTTTTACTATTATCACACATTAACTTAAATGTGATGAGGCATTAGAAAAGATTGAATTATTTTAATTTTCCTTTTTTCACTGGATTCTGAAGCCATTATGTTTTATTTTGAGGTAAATTATCCTATTTTTCTTGTCTGCATAAATACCTTTATGAATAATGCAAGAAGCTGGGATGCTAAAAGTAAAAATTACAGACCTGTCCTTGAAGGACAGGATTAACGTCCTGTAATAATTTATTCAAAAACAACTGGTGCCTTTACAACACAAAATATGCCCTTTTTGGGCTTTTGCAAAGCCATAGTAGTGGAGCTTTGCCAGATCCATTAATAGTTCTGTACTAATGACAGTCACATAGCTGAGTGGGGTAAAAGCAGACAATGGGAACGGTCTGTACTGGATTTCCTTTTGCATGGTCCTTGTAAGAATGCTTGAACGGGAAAAATCTGCTAAAATAGGTCCACGGGGGTAAGAGCAGCAATGCCTTATGTTGAATTACAGCTAGAAGTGACAGATATTACACTTAATGCAAAGATAGTGCAGATGTTTACCTGAAGACTACAGAGGCACATTAAGATTATGGAAAATTGTCAGTTCCTAAGGAAATACTAACCTGCCTGTTCCACTTTAGACTGTCTAGCTATTAATGCCGGTATACAGAAAACCTACACACATTTGGCAATTGGTAATGTGTTTTCACTGACTGCGAGCAGGGCTTAAGACATGTGGGAGAACAAGGTGAAGATGATGTACATGTACAGACCAAGGCTCCTCCATCCATGGCAAGATGCTGTGAGAGGGCAGAGCCTGGAGCCCTGACAGCCATGTGCTTGCTTGAGCATTGAGGGGGAACAAGACCTAAAACATGGGGACACAGCCAGAAAATGAGCACCCATTGTTTCCTCTTGCCTGTGCCATTGCAAACTTTCTGAACAGTTTTTTCTGTGCTCCTTTGAAGAATGATGATGATTTTTATGCTGCTTTCACTCTCGTGTCAGAGATATATGCTTTCATTTCAGCTTAACATAACTTTATGGAGAAAGTATATATAGTGTGTTCTGGTAAGCACCTGCACCCATAAAACACACAAATAGTACATATATAGCTCAAATTCCATAGCAAAACCTCAAATAGACAGGAAGATATTAATCCTGAGGCATGTATGCAAATATAGTGCTAGGATCTCAAGGTGGAAAAGCCAAGATGAAGAAAGATTAATTGATTCCGTTATATATAGCAACATCTTCCTATGCAAAAAAAAATCCTCAAAAAGATGTTTTCAAAAGCCATGGTATGTCCAGATGGAAATGATGTATTAAGTGTACTAAGTAATGTTGCAATGTCTGACAAACTATTTTATAAAGCTCTTATTTGCAGTTCCCTCTTGGTATTACAAGCACCTTAAATGTTTCTGAATTTCTAAAACAAATCCATAATGTTTTCCTGTACTTGCAGAGATACATTTATACATATGCTGCAAATAATGCACAGCATCACAGAAGCTGACAGACCTAGTCATATCATTTTCTCCCTTTTAGTGTTTATGTACATCATTTTAAACACAGGAATAAGAAACTGTGAGGTATTAGACAAGTAGGGAAGCAGTAATGGTTTTCCCTGTTTCATGCTCTTCATGCATATTGTATTACATGGTGCTCCTAAAGACTTGTTGCCAAAGAAATACTAACTTGATGCAGAAGCAGTGAGTGTTGCTTCCGCCTTCTCTTCCCTGCACCATCAGACCAGCACATGCACACACACACATGGATTCAGGAGAAGGCTGGGCTGTGGAGCCCGAAGGTGCTCTGGTTTTAACCTGGAGAGGAGCAGGGCACCTCCTCTAAGCTGGGAATGTCTCTGGGGGAGGAGAGCAGGTAGCAGGGAGAAGCTTGAAGTGGTTTTTGCTAGTTGCTTCTGTATCAGTAGTGTCTCCCATGGCAGATCTTCCCAAAGCAGCCTGCACAGCCCTGTTTTTCCTTTGCCCTCTGCCTGGCATGGGCAGTGCAGTGCTGGTGTAACTCCATTAGCTTGAGGAGGTCAGGGAAGTAAAGGAAGAACCTCTGCAACTGAAAGCGAGTCCCATTTTTACAGCTCTGCTGGTTTAAGAAGTTGGTTTGTGTTTCCTTAAACATCACTGGACAAAAGCTATAGATGGATACAGTACTGTCACAATCAAGTCATCTAGCCTTGAAATAGTACTGTGTGTTATTTTATTCTTCTGATATAATTGCAAGAGGCTTTAGCTTTTGCTGCTCTTCTTCCACTGTGTAAACTAGTTCTTAGTTTTGGTATCCTGGCAGACAGGCTGTCTGAAAAGTAATTACCAGTCAATTAGCATCCTATACCAGGAGCCTAAATCAAATACACTTTCCAAAGGGCTTAAGTTTAGAAATGAACTGTAAGAAAACACTATTGATTTTGTAAATGAAAAATGCAGAATTGAATAGAGGTCCAGTACAGAACTGACCCAAGGAAGCAATCTTTAAACAGGAATATTCTCTGATTCAACACTGGGGAAGTAAAGAAAACAAGAAGAAGGATTCATTTTCTGTTGACCTGCAATAGCAAAGTCATTCACTTTCCAAATAGGATTAAACTTGTTCCTTCAGCCATGACATGTGAAAAGATCATGGTTATAAAATCTGTTTGCTGTAATGAATTGAAAGTGTCTGAGTTTGTGAGCAGCACTCGTTGTTGACAGACAGCTAGATTTGAGGAGGGTTTTAACACTAAAATTAGCTTCTACTAAACAAAAAGTACAGAAAAGGTGGCAGCAGTGACAGACTTAAAAGCATTAAAAAACTTTATTGTTAGATGGAAGCTGAGTACAGCTAGAAATAAATAGTGGTTATAGCCCTGTTATGTAGATAACTTGCCTCATTCCTGAGTGAGGGTGAGCACAAAACTGGAAAACAGCATTTCTTTAGGTTTCTCAACCATATTTCAACAAGAATAAATATTGTTACATAAATGAGGAAAAATCGAGCTTTTCTGTGGTGTTGCTTTTAATATGTAAGAAAATGGAATTGAAGGAGACTTCACTGGAATCAATTTCAACATACATCAACGTGACTCCACTGCTGTCCATGAAACCACATTGGTGTATTTTGTAAATTGAGATAAAAGCTGTGCTCTGGAGTTACTTAACCTGAACTCAGTCTTGCATCTTGCATGAAATGTTTGATACTTGCAGAACTCGGTGCAGTTTAGAAATCTATTTCGCCCAAGTTTATGTGTTTGGTGAACAGTTTCAGGCATATTTTAAATGTGCTAATTGCCAAGAACAAAATCTCAATGGCTGAAAAAGGGCTAATATTTGTGACTAACGTGAGATTCATTTTCATTGATAAGGTACCCAGCTGAACACTGTCCAAGATTTAGAGTAAATAAATATTAGCAAAATATAGCGTGAGCTAAACAGAGGAATGAAAATATAATGGCTTCTTAAATTACCACAAGGTTAATATATAATTAGTTTGCTAATTTAATTACAAACCTACAAATGGCCTGAAAAATGCTCAAAGGGGAGAAGCAGGCAGGTGCCAGCAGGGATTAGCCAGGGTTACTGGTAATTATGAGGTCTCTTAATTGTGTTAGAGACATTTAACAACATCCTTTATAAACCCAGCACATGCTGAAACTCAGCAGGTTCTTGTCTTGCTGCACCTTTCCCTTGTTGCAGAACTGCTGTTATTTGCCTCACTCTTTTCCAGCTCCATGACCTGTTGCAGCTGGAATGTGGGCTGCTTTTTCTGTTTGCCCCATGCTGTTCTACATGTATGAGGTGCTTATTTTGATCACATAAACAAAAGAGATTAAGTCGTGTTTGCAAAGTGCTCTAAGCACCTGAAGCACCGGAGAGCTGCCAGTATCAGAATCAGAAACATAAATCCTGAAAAAAATGTTTTTTCTTTCCCAGGTGTCCTGGGACAGGCAGTTTGTAAGGCAGGAATATTGCTGAAACTGCCTTTTCAGTGGCAAACCTGCTCTGCAATGCTGTATATGCAGAGATAAATGTAACTTCTGGATTTAAAAAACCCCAAACAAACAGAGAACAAAAAAACCCTGCCTGTTTGCTTTGTATTTTAAACAAATTGTGGTGTAAACAAGTGTCTTGTGAGTATCAGATTCCACGATGTATTGTTGTTCTTTTGTATTGTTGTTATTATGTGAGTTATGTTTTACATGCCTGTTGTTTGAAACCGTAATAAACGTTGATCCATCTATTAAAGAAAGACTTAAAAAGAAAAAAACAGCAAGTACAAAGTAAAGTAAAGTAAAATAAAAACCAAACCTAAAGCATTGGTGTCAAAGGCAATTAATTTCCTGGCTGGCTTGTGTTTTTCTCTGAGGCAGATATTGATGAGTGTGCAGAGGGGATCATTGAGTGTCACAACCATTCACGCTGTGTTAACCTCCCAGGGTGGTACCACTGTGAGTGCAGAAGCGGTTTCCATGACAATGGAAGCTACTCTCTATCTGGGGAGTCCTGTGTTGGTAAGCAATGATCAGCAGAGCGCTTTCTTTCTTGCCTCTTTCTGCATGGTGTTACAGAGTGACTATTGAGACACTGTCATGAGCAGTTTTCCTCTGTTTAGGGCTGAAATGAGAATGCAAGCAAGCGTGTCTGTGTTTGTCAGCACCCCTGGCCATGTAGTGGGGGTCGTCATTCAAGCTGCATCACAGCCTTGAGTGGTTATTACAGGAAGGAGACAGTTGGAGAGCAAAAGTGTGACTTAACTGCACTTCACCATTTATCATCATGAGTTGCTGTAAAACCTGAAGTAAAAGTAGGCTTTCTGGGGAGCATCATAGGCCACAAGAGGGGAAGAGCTGGTTTTCCATTTTCCGAGTTCAGCAGAGCAATATGAGAACACATTTGGGGTGTGTCTGAGTTGCTTTGATTTGTTTGTTTTCCATGGTTTAGCATCTTCATCATTTTCTTCTGAGTTATGCAAATGGTATCAAGCTCTTTATGCTTCAGATTTGCAGAATAAGGCCCTAAGAGCATGAAGGGAGAGAAGTTTGTAAAGGGTGCAGAAGAGTTTGTCGGTTGTTTTTGTAGGAGGAGGAAGGATGTTCCATGAGGACCCACTGCTAACCATACTGACAAATAAATTTCAAACCCTGATGTTTAGTGTAAAGTAGAACAAAGAATTGGTTAAAGTGACAGACAGATAACACTACACATTCTAGCTAAAGCTCTGGTTCTTGAACACTGGCTTCCATCATGTTATAGAGCTCATTTGCATGCAGATCATTTAGAGTCAGGGCTAGTGTCATTCACTCAATTTCGGATAGAGGAGGGTTCATCTGCTTAGCAACAGCATTTTGTCCTGGTATGTTTTACAGACTTTATATTGAAATCCTAGAGGTGAATTTGGGCCACTGCTCTTTGGTGTGTTTTGAAATGCTGCTTCTTCCTCCCTGAAACAGGAGAATATTAAATAGGTATACAATATTATTGGAGAATAATAAGTAGGCGAAAAAGAAAAAATATTAAACCCTTCCCCAAATAATAATAATAACAATATAAAATTATAAGAACAACAACAACATATGACAATTGTAAGGCAGTGGGAGGGAGCACTCGGCTCTCACAGATTGCCCAAAGCCACAGCAGCTGGGTTCTTCTGCTGGGTGCATTTATGTATCCATTGGTTACCCCCTTTCTCTCTGTTTATGTATAGGTGTCTTGGAGCTGAGTCATTGCTTGCAGTGCCTCTGCAGTGCTTCCACAACCTTTAAAAATGACATTTGGGAAGTGTTGGAATACCTCAGTGCTTCTCAAAGCTTTATGCTCATTGACTAGGAGAAAACAGAGGTGTTTGTCACCTGGCAAGGAACAAATGTGTAAATCAACAGATGTGGGGGGAAGGTCACAATATATTGCACCAGAGTTTAGGTCATAAGGATGTATGACTTAGCCAGGGCACTTCAAGCTTGGGAAAATGCTTTTATTGTTCACAGTATCAACCAAAGGCAGCTGTGAAAAGGAAATACACTTCTCAGGTGTTGTGGTTTAAACAAAGTCAGCCACAGAATTCAACTCCCACGGGTTGAGATAAGAACAGTTTAGTAACTAAGGTATAACACAAATCACTACTGCTACCACCAATAATAGTAATGATAAAGGAAATAACAAGGGAAGAGAATACAACACCTCAGCACCAGCCAACTGGTAACTCGCCCCCCCCCCCCCCCCCCCCAGCCCGACCAAGCACCGACCGATACCTCCTCCAACCCCACCATCCTCTAGCCTTACCCCCAGGTAACTCTCCGTTACATCCTGGGCATGACGTGCTGTGGTATGGAATACCTCTTTGGTCAGTTTGGGTCAGGTGTCCTGTCTCTGCTTCCTCCTGGCTTCCCCTCCTCCCTGGCAGAGCATGAGGCTCACAAAGTCCTTGGCCAAACCAAAACATCCTTGTTATCCGCTCTGTTCCCAGGCCGAAAGTCAAAACACTGCACTGCACCAGCTACCAAGAAGGAGAAAAATGACTGCTACTGCTGAACCCAGGACATTATCCACCCCTTATTCCGTACCATTCACATCATGCTCAGATCCCACATTTTCAATATACCATCACTCTTGTCTCAGTGCACTCTTATCTTAGTGCATGGACCAGTCCCTATAAAGCTGCTGAGTCCATCTGGTCCATGATGTCAGGCTCCATCTCTTGTAACAGTCTTTCAGAGCAGGAGAGACTGTGTGCAGTGTTCACACTCATGAATCACCTGGGCAATAGTGTCCATTGCTAAGTCCACCCCTCGATCATGAGTCCATCTCTGTGTTGCATCTCTGCTCTGATGGCCTGAAGTGCCATGGGCCCACCAGGCTCAAAATAATTCACTGTCCCCTTCATCAGATTCTGCAGCTTGTTGCTGGGGACTCCATACAGCTGCCTTCCATCTCCGGTGCTTCCAAAGCACTGGAGGGGCCCAGTGGACTAGATACTTGCCCATACTGTCCCACACACCCTGCCACTCATGACTGTCCAGCCTTGGGGAAAACCTCTTGGTCCCCCTGTATTGTCGTCTAACCCCAGACAAGACCCAAACCTGACTCTGCTTAAATTTTGGGATCAGACAAAATGGTTGTGGGTAGAACACAGTCTGTGTGTGTGCCAACATGCTGATCCCCATCACAATCAGCAGGCAGGTCCCAAGTGTACCCAAAGGCCATTCAAAACCTTCAGCACTCTCACACGATGCTGCTGTACTTGTCACTGGGGCTGGTGTAGCTGCTGTGCTTCCCGGCTCTCCCACCAACAGCTTCTCTTTTCCTGAGTCCAGCTCTTCCTCCTCTGCCTTGCTGGGAAATGCTGCGTGGTCTCCTGCATCCTCCTGGGGCTCGGCGGGCGGCTTCCGGGGCATGCTCTCGGCCATCGCAGGGCTCGGCTCCTCCGCGGGGCTCGGCTCCTTCGCCGCCTTCTCCCGCTGCTCTGCAGCCGCCTCCTTCCTCTCCTCGACCGCCCCGACCTCCTTCACCGGCAGCCGTCCCCTCTCGGCCTCCGGCCCCGCTCCCGCCGCCGCCTGGTCCCCGGGGCCGCTCTCCCGGGCCGCTTCAGCAGCCGCCGGCTCCCAGAGCCGCTCGCCCTCGGCTCCCCGCAGCCTCACAAAGATGGAGAGTAGGGTGAGGGCCAGGGCGGTGAAGAGCAGCCGGACGGCCAGGTACAAGTCCACGGCCACGTCCGTCCCGCCCTGCTGCTGGAGCCCGCCCGCATTACAAGCCATTGCCATAAAGCACAGTGAGACAAGAACCTTAGCCCAAGCCCCACACTTGATAAACACTAACACAGCAAATACCGGCTCTACGTAAGTTACAACGGTCTGAAGCTGTGAGATCAACAAGAACAACTCTGAGAGCCAATAAATCGTCATTGTGACGAGTGACTATTAATCTGGTCAGATCTGTCGTTATTTCAACCCTTCGTGCCCCACGTTGGGCGCCAAAAAGAACTGTCGTGGTTTAAACAAAGTCAGCCACAAATCAAGCAGTCGCTATCTCACTCCCCCCCCCCCCCCCCCCCCTTTTTTGCCCTCCCCCTGCTCCTGGAGGGATGGGAAGGAGAATCGAAAAGAATGCAACTCCCACATGTTGAGATAAGAACAGTTTAGTAACTAAGGTATAACACAAATCACTACTGCTATCACCAATAATAACAATGATAAAGGAAATAACAAGGGAAGAGAATACAACACCTCAGCACCAGCCGACCGGTAACTCGCCCCCCCCCAGCCCGACCAAGCACCAACCCATACCTCCTCCAACCCTGCTGTCCTCTAGCCCTTCCGGGTAACTCTCCGTTATCTCCTGGGCATGACGTGCTGTGGTATGGAATACTTCTTTGGTCAGTTTGGGTCAGGTGTCCTGTCTCTGCTTCCTCCCGTCTTCCCCTCCTCCCTGGCAGAGCATGAGGCTCACAAAGTCCTTGGCCAGACCAAAACATCATTGTTACCAGCTCTGTTCCCAGTCCAAAAGTCAAAACACTGCACTGCACCAGCTACCAAGAAGGAGAAAAACGACTGCTACTGCTGAATCCAGGACAGCTGTCCATACTTTTATAAAAGATGTTATCTTCATAAGGTGATGGTGATCAGGCTCAAATTAAGGCAGTGTCTAATTTTCATCAGTAGCATTTATGAAGCACTGGCCTTTCACAGTATCTTTTAAAGAACATTGCTTGCAGACAAAAGACAATTGCTGTACTAAGGTGCTAGCAAAGCTTGCTTGGCAACTAAAACATGGAGCTGGAGTTGCTGGGTTGGCTTTTTTTTTTGCTGTTTTTTCTTTTTTAAGAGGAGCCTTGCTACACTTGAAGGTAAACAAACAGAAATACTTTATAGACAACTAGGAGTTGTTATATGGTATGTATCCCAGCATTAACTGCTCTCTACTGATACCATACTGAAGCAGCTGGCATACACTGTTTTTTCCCAGCACTAAGTACGTGTTGCCAAATATTGCTGCCCCGTAAGATAATCATTGAATAAACCCTCACCACTGAATTTTCAGTGATAACCTTTAAGATTATCAGGACCAAAAGAAGGGAAAAACTGGCAAAGAAACGCTGTATTCTGGGAAGTTAATAATGTCCCACAAAGCTCACTTCTACCTACAGCAGAAAAATAAAAGCAAATTAAATTATGCTTCGTAATTTCTCCCTGTCTTTAAGTGAAACACTTCCAGTCTGTACAGAGCTGTCCAAACCCTGGAGTGCGGAATTCCCAATTCCATATTTTTCATTATGTTCCATGTTTCTGAGTCTCTGCATTGTGACTTGAAGGCACAGAAGGAAAAACACCCAAGGCAGCAGTCCCTGTCAGTTGTTGTCTTTTTCTTTTCTGTTAAGAATCAGTGCCAGTTTTGTAAGGAAATTTAGCTCCTCCCACCGAAACCCACAGCCAAGATACACCTTTTCTTAGAATTAACACGTTGTTTTAGTTCTAGCGATCTTTCTTCTATAAGATGGTTTATTTGTTCCCTCTTTTTG